TATGGAAGCCATAAGCAGCTGGTCAAAGGAGACATGCATGCCAATACTAGAGAACTGCAGTAAAACCCAGCAAGCAGGGAGGGAAGATCTGTGAGGAACACATTTAAATTCCCCAGATGAGAAATTTCAGTTTTAAGTGCCTTCCAAGCCCAGAAAGCTCCTATGTCAGCTGATGGCTTTTCAGGCCCTTCTTTCCTTTCCCAAGGGACCAGAGGCAGGTGGATGAGCAAGGGAAGAAATGGAAAAACTCCTAATTGCAAATAGAGAAGGTACTCTCTTTCCCATGATGGTTTCCTGCCTGCAGCAGTCCAGAGTAGAAAAGAGAAGGAAATCCAACATTCAGGGAAACAGACCTTCCAATTACTGCAATAAGTTTATTTGTGTAAATAGAAGTGACCAGAGAACTTCCTATTTCCTATTTCTTAGTATGACCCTAAAAGTCAATGACATCTGCTAGAGATTTTATCCCACAAAGAAGGGAAGAGCTAGCCCCACATAGGCATCAAGAGAAGGAATAGAGTTGTTCTCTAACTTTATCCTGAAAATTCTGCTTGTTTAACAAGAATCACACAGAGAGATAGAAAAATATTTTTTAATCGTCAAAAATACAGAGAGAAAGGGATCCTACTGAAGTTATAATTGCTGATACACAGAATGACCTTAGACTGATACAATAAAACACACATGTGGAACTACTTCCACATGTGTACACTTCAGGCACACACAGAGGAACTACTGAATGGTCCAATGACTTTTCTGGCTTTAATGTTCAAATTACTATCCCTTAATGTTCAAATTACTATCTTTTACCGATAATGTTTATATCAACTCTGTCTACACAAAACTGAAATCATTAATAATTAACATTAAAATATCTAGTCTTACTTTGGATATCACCAGGAGCTCTGACTGAATGGCAGAAAAACAATGACATGGAAAAGAGGTTCAAGAAAAACATCAAGTTGGAAAAGTGGGATTTTAGGACCAAGATCAGAAAATGAGACCAGAGACAGAAACATGGAGAAAGAGACACCCAGCAAACCAATGAAGATGACTAGCCAGCACGGACAAAAATAATAACAATGTAGTATGAATGGTAAACATTTATTGGGGATTCTCCAAACAAAGTACGGATCTTTACAACAAACCCTATGAGTACAGTAAGGATCAAAGTATAGGTTTTGCACTTGGAAATGTACCTGGTATGTTATAAGCAACCAACATAAGTTATACGCAGGTATTATCCCAAGCAAGTACTATATTACATCATTTTATAGATGAGGGAATTGAAACTTAGAATGGTTAAGTAAACTACAAGGGATGATTTACTAGTAAATCATTCAGTAAGTGAAGAATGAGAGCAGAATTTGAACCTAGTGATCTGCCTCCAGGGTCTTCTCTCCTGACCCCTGATCTAGGCCAGGCTTTGACACTCATCTCCTTCCAGTCTTTCTCAGTGGAGACCCAGCCACCAAGAAGCCTGTTCTGTGTTTCATCTCAGCAGTGCTTTCTTTCGGCCAGCTGCCCACCAAACCCTAAGTCAAAGGTAAGGTTGGTAGCTGGGATACTAAGTTTAACACTGCCAGGAGTGTCAAACTTTAGAGAGGAGGGCTTGAAGATTAAAAGGATAATGGACAAATTGCATCCTGTTGAAAGTCCAGTGAATGATATATTTTCATTCAGTGGGAACTCCTTGAGCAATAAATAGCATGGGGACGAAAGGAGAGAAAGAAAGATGGCAATGGCTTGTAGAAAACACTGCATCTTTTGACATTGCTATCATAAATGACTGCCTTCTCCACATCCAGATTGGAGCTTGGGTTCGAAGCTGAGTAGCAAATGGGACTGGGTCTCCTAAGATGGAAATACAAACTGTTTTTTAACATTTTGGGGGAAATAGTTCATTAACAAAAGTATGGAGGAAATGGGAAATTATTATGAAGAGAGGGGAGTGGGCTACACCAAGACTATGATTCTAACACCAATTATCCCAATGATGGGGGTTAAATTCTGGCCCACCCTCCCCTTTCATTAAGTTCATTTGGACTTTAATTATATATAGCATTCTTTATACTTTATACTAAATGAACAGAAAGCAAAATAATGGTGGAGAGAAGAAATGCTGTTATAGACTCATACAGGAAAAAAGACAGCCCTTAATGAGAAGATGGTCCAAACACTAAACAAGTCATATGGAGATTCTTCATCTTCTTCCACCCCTTTTCTTTGCTCTCCCTCCATCCTCTCTTGGGACCAGCTCATGCTCATCTCGTAAGCTCAACAATCACTTGTTGAACTGTATTGAGCTCAAAGTGTCAGGTCTACCCAGTTTACAAAGACCAAACCTGCATTTCCAACAACTACTCAACAGTCTCCACCGTAAACACACTCAACTTTCTCAGACTTACATCCATATTCTTCTAGCACAAACCTATACTTCTGTTCCTCAGCTCTCATTAACAGCAACACTGCCATCCTAAAACTTAGTAGCCATCTTCAATTTTTCTGTCTTCTCAATTTTCTGCACTGAGTCAATAACCAAGACCCATGATTCTGCCTCTCTGATGAGGTTTCTCCCATGGGCACCCTGCCCCACCACTGCCTTCCTTAAGTCATGAAGGTTTTTATAATTTCTTTGAAGCAGGATGATTCTGTTTTTACTCTGCCAAATATCTCAATTCACCCCCACAATTTGCTGTCAGAAATTTCTTTCAACGCCTTGACACAATCATATCACAATTTTCATCAAAAGTCACTCATGATTCATCTCTAATGGTTGCCAAGATGAACCTCCTAGATTCAAGTTCAGTCACCCTGTGTCTAACCCTCTTACCTTTCCCACACCAACCTCCAATTACCATGACCACCCAAGATGCATCCCAATTCCAATCACAAAGGCCGATTGGCCAGACCTTTGAAAAGCCTCTTCAAGAGGCAAACTTTCTGCTCAGAGACAGGATCTGGGGTAAAACAATTGGCCAGGAGTGGTCAGGAGGAGCGTCAGACTGAATTTAGTTCTAATACACAGCATTTATCTTAGATATCAAGGGTAGCCCACTCCCTGATTGAAAAAACGTTTACAGAGCCCCCAAAGAGAGAATTTGTTTGGAGACATTGAGAAAAAGTGCTAATATAATCCTTGAATTTGGGTCAGGGAGTGTAGAGTAGTGATAAGTGATTTCAGAATCTCATATTAGAAAAGTAGGGAGGAAAGGAGAGACAGCTATTATCAATCCAGAGCTTCTTTCCTAAGAATGGAGAGAGGGGAAATTTCACAGGAGTTAAAACTCTTGGAATTGGAGGAGAAGATGGAGACCACGTATAAACAATGAGCCAGCTTTTCTGCTCCTAGCAACAAGGAACTTCCAATCCTCAGAACTCAGATGTCTTCACTGAAGTCTCATTTCACCAGCAAGAATTTTAAGGGACCTGGGGAGGGAAGAGGGCAACCAAGGGAGTGATTCATCATGGCTCCATTCTCACGCCAAGGGTTTGAGTGGAGCTGGGAGTCCTGGTATCACACAACAATTGCTACTCAATGATGCTGTGATGACCTCACAAGTGAAGCCTCCCTCCTCAACTCTACCCCCAGCTTCTCCAGAGCTGGGCAGAGGAACCAGAGGGAAAATCCACCTTCCCAAGCACAGCTGTACCATCCACTTCACTCAATTACTTGTCAAGTTCACTGCCAACACAGAGGGGTGAGTTGAACTCGGACAGCTGGAAATGTCCTCTCTTGTGCCCGGAGTGACCTACAGTACTCCAGGCACTGAGCGGGTTTGGGAAGGTCATGTTTGAGTAAAAGTTTCCTGTCACTTTTAGTAGCAAGAACTGGGGTCCACTTCACCTTGAAATAGATTTTTTAAAACAATTTCAGTGTTCAATGTAATAATCTGCCTCTCCAGAAAGCCATATTGATTTTACAACTAAATTAGAAATTTTATTTTTATACTGCTAAAGGAAATCCAAGGTGTGCCAATTAGATCAAACTTGAAGTACTGCTAAGGACTGAAGTCCTGTCAATATTGAGAAGTTAAATTGTCCATAAAGACTTAGGTGGGGGCAAAATTCAACAGAGAAAAAAAGGAATCCCCTTCTGAAAAACCATATTTTGTGACTGTAGCATTCATATCTTCAGAGAAATTATAATTTCATGGTTCACTCCTTCTCTCCTGATTTCTTCCCTTACCCTAACCATTTGACAGAACCTGGATGGAGATGAGGGAGAGGACAGTCATGGCAGGGATTCAATTGTCTCCCAAAGTCCACAAGTAAAGAAAGCAATTCTCAAGGTCTGGGGGCTTATATAGGATACAAGATTGAAAGGAGTGCCCTGTGTCCCTAAGTCTACTTATGCCATACCTCCCATCCATCTTCAGAGGGTTGAGAAAGTGGCCTTGTGGCAGTTCTTTGAAACCTTAGTGGTACCATAGATCCCTTGAGCAGTCTGGTCAAACTTATGGGCTCCTTGGAATGTTTTTAAATGAATGACATACAGCATATGGGGTTACAGAAGATACCAACTATATTGAAATACATTTCAATGGCGAGCAGGGGTAAGGAGGTTCCAGGACCCTAGATTAAGAACTCCTACTAGTGACCAGTACTGGTCTGTGGCCTGTTAGGAATTGGTCCGCACAGCAGGAGATGAGTTGCAGGCAAGCAGAGCTCTGTCTATCAGATCAAAGGCGGCATTAGATTCTCATAGGAGCACGAACCCTGTTGTGAATTGTGCATGCAAGGGATCTAGGCTGCACGCTCCTTATGAGAATCTAATGCCTGATGATTCCTCCTACCCCATCCATAGAAAAAATGTCTTCCATGAAACCACTCCCTGATGCCAAAAATTTGGGGGATTGCTGGTCTAGAGCCTGAACACATCAAGAAAAAGTCTTTCTTAAGAACAAGGATGGGCAGAAGGTGTAAGAAGTCTGCAGAAATCCTCTCCCTCCTACAACATATCTCATATTGCTTTGCAGGACTCAAATAATCAAGAAACCATGTCGAGTGATGATAAAAGTAAATCTAGTGACCCCAAGAACGAGCCCAAGAACTGCGATCCCACGTGTGAGCAAAAGTGTGAGTCCAAATGCCAGCCCAGCTGTTTAAAGAAGTTACTGCAACGCTGCTCTGAAAAGTGCCCACGGGAGAAGTGTCCAGCACCACCCAAGTGTTCCCCCTGCCCTGCGCCGTGCCCGATGCCCTGCCCTGTGCAGTGCCCGACACCCTGTCCTCCCAAGCCCTGCGCCAAGCCCTGCACCAAGCCCTGTCCTCCTAAATGCCCACCTCCCTGCCCACCTCCAGAATGAGGCACCATGGGCACCACCCAACCCCACCACCATCATCATCTCCATCATGTACAATGTTTTGTGGGGCTAGGAATTGAAACCATGAACTGATAAGTAAACGTGTTCCTCTGCCGTGCAAGACTTCTGGTGATTTGGTGGTTTTTTGTTTGTTTGATTTTTTGGGGTTTATTTTGTTATGGTTTTACAGCACTAAACTGCCAGCGAGAAATCCTGGGAAAGTGGGGCTAGAGCCCTCCACTATCAATGACCACTGATGACAGGTTTTCCCTCTGACTTCACCTGCTGCTTAGAAGGTGTCCTCTTCTGAAGGCCCAGGAAATGCCAGGCCCTGTTAGGGCAGAACCTGGGCATCCATAAATTTGGCCACAGTTGTTCAAGTGTCTAACCCCAGGAAGTAGGAAGAAGAGAGGGCATGGTGGGGAAAGATGAGTGGTGTGACATTGGTAAAAGGTCCAGGAAGCCTCAGGAAAAGACATTCTACTACCTTTGCTGTTAGTCCCATTGCATAATGCTTAGGCAGAGAAGGGGCTCTAAGTACGGGCTGCTTGGATTTAATGCAACTCTAGCTCCATTGCATAATGCTTAGGCAGAGAAGGGGCTCTAAGTACGGGCTGCTTGGATTTAATGCAACTCTAGCTCCGCTCCCTCACAATTTTGTGACCTTAAGCAGCTTGCTTAACTTCTCTGTGTCTCAGTTTCCTTCTCTCTGCAAAAGGAACGATGATGCTGATAGTACTGTGTTACAGGGTTGTTATGAAGTTTAAAGAGTTGACAAATGCCAAGTGCCTGGTTTGCTGGGATATAGTGAGAAGGTGAAGGAGCTGCCTACACCTGCCCAGGTGTAACATTCATCACACCTGAATTTAACTGCCCCATATATCTCTTCTTAGCCTGTAAGTCTCCTCCACCATTAGTCAGGCTCTAACTTATACCTGTTAGCACGCAGCTAGACATTATTTAAAAATTTGAAAAGGAGGTGTGTATTATACCAAAGTCAGTTACTTGTCTTTAATGCTGAACGGTAGCTATGTAACATGTCACTATTGAGAGAATCCTGGTGAATGTTAAGTGAAACCTCTATTTTCCGCCAATCTATAACACTTCAAAAATAAAAACTGAAGTACAAAATATATGGAATTGGAGAACATCATCCTAAGTGAACTAACACAGGAGCAGAAAACCAAACGTGTTGTCTCTTATAAGTGAGAGCTAAACTAAGGATCTGCAAAGGCATAGAGAATGGTACAGTGGACATTGGTAACTCAGGAGGTGGGACAGGAAGGGATGGAAGGACGAAAAATCACCTCTCAGGTACAATGTGCACAGGTGGGAGTGGTGGGCACACTTAAAGCCCAGACTTCCCACCACTATATAATGCAACCATGTAGCTATCTGTACCCCTTAAAGCTACTGAAATAAAAATTTTTAAAAGATAATGCATGAATCTGGGAAGATCCCAAATAGGAATGAACAGGGAAGATATTCACAGCTGATATGTTAGTAGGAATTATGTACAAGTGACTACAAAAACTTCACATGGAACTAGCTTAAATCATAAAAGGGACTTTATCAGTTCACATGACTGAGAAGAATATTGGAGTGGGGCAGAGAATTAAAGCAGAAACTGTAGGAAGCAAGTCTTCAGGGTCTGGGAGCATGAAGCCGCCCTCACCCTCTCAATCTCCCTCATCTCCACCAGCCTCTGCCACTGATGGTGGGAGTGTAAATAGATAAACACCCTTTTAAAAACAATTTGGGGAATGTCTATCAAAAACATAAAATGATTCAACTCTTTGACCCAATGGCTCCTCTTCATAGAACCTACTCAAAGAAAAATAATTGCAAAATGAGGAAGAAGTTACACAAATAAATGTGATTATGATAGTGTAACTTAGAAAAAATTTAAATATCTAACAATGTTTGATTAAATAAATGTGGATCTATGGAACATTATACAGTCATCAAAATGTATTAAAGAGAAAAAGGTAAGACCTTGATTAAACATACAGCATAAAGTAATTGCCTTTAGCCAAGAGCTTCTTTGAATAATAATGATAATGATTTTATTATTAGAATGAAATACGTGGAGATTCTCATTATGTTAGGACAATGGAGTTATGGATAACTAGTACGGTATTTTTATTTTCACTGATTTCTGGATTTTTATTAATATATTTTTATTTGTTTTGTAATAGGATGAAAAAGAAATAATCAACAATTCATGAAATAATTATGAATACTTTAGGGATTCCCAAAGTCATTTCTTTTATTCAGCATCCAAAAAAAAGGAAGGAGAAACGTTTTAGGGAGCACACACACCATGTAGGACACATCTCTCCTCGGGTGCCTTCCCTCCAGGCATAGATCTCAGTTCCAGGCCTCCTGGTGGCTCATTTGGGAGTAAGGGTCAGGGAGCCATGCTCTTCCACGTGACTTTGAGGACTTGGGGCATAGACTGGCAGGAGGCCAGCCCTGGGAACATAAAACCATCCATTGCCAGTTTAGCTCTCATTTCTCCCATGTAAATGAAACCAAAGATAGACATCTTCTAATGGCTACTTTCCCAGCAAAGAGCTGGATCAAAGGCAATTCTGGGGAGGTGACTGGAACACGATGAGGGTGCCACCTCCCTGTAGAATGCCATAATTACTCCCAGCCCCAGCGGCAGTCACCAGGCCCAGTCCCAAAAGGTACAGGGTTGTATAAATAAGCAGCACCTGAAGAGTGGCATCACGAGAATCTGTGCAGTGCCAGGTTCGATGGCTCCCAGATAACGAGGTAGGGCAGAACCAAGCCCTCTCCTTTCATGGCAAAGCAGTTTTGAGGGTCCATTAAGATGGTCACAAAAGGAGCCTCTGCCACAAACCTCCTTGCCTCATGCTTTCTTGAGAATCAGGCAGAGTACAGCCTGCCTTGCCAAAAGGCTTCTAAACCCTTCCAAACCAGGCCAGCTGGATGTGATGTGAGGTGGGCAGTTGCATGAAGGCTGGGCACAGAACACAGGAATGTCTGGCTTTGAAGCTGGATGAAAGTTAGAGATCATTTTCTTTCTTTCTTTTTAAATTTTCTATTTCATTTTTTATTAGAGACAGGTCTTGCTAGGCTGTTCTCCAACTCCTGTGCTTAAGCAATACTCCCCCCTCAGCCTCCTAGAGCACTGGGATTGAAGACCTGAGCCACTGCACACTGCCTAAGAAATCGGTTTCTTGCCTTTCCCACCTCCACATGGGAATGGTAACTGGGGAGATGGCAGAAAGAAGCCAGTTACCTATTTTTCCCGTCCTATTTTTCCCATCCTGCTTCCACATGACCGGAGATTCCAGTTCAGGAACATGAGCACAGGCACATTCTGGAAGGCTTTATGGGGCATAAGTCATAACTGCTGCTGTCACAGTTGTTGATGCTCAGCAAGTAAACCTATCAGTAAACACAGTAAGTTAGTTGCCAAACACATAAAGATTCTAAGATACAAAGTGATCATAAAATGCATACCAGGATATTTTCAGCCATACCTGTCTTCCAGGTGCATGAAACCTCAGATGTCTCCTCTCCAGAGCCATGAGCTCTCTCCCAGGCTCAAAAGAAAGTCTGCTCAGATGGAGGAGTCATGAATTTTTGGATTGCCTGAGCCCGCGGGTTCAAGACCTGCCTGGGCAACTTGGTGAGACCTCATCTCTACAATAAATCAAAAAATTGGCTGGACGTGGCAGCGCATGCCTGTAGTTCTAGCTACTTGGAAGGCTGAGGCGGAAGGATCGCCAGAGCCCAGCAGGTCAAGGATGCAGTGGCCAGGAGCGTGCCACTGTACTCCAGTCTGGTGAGAGAGTGAGACGCCAACTCAAAAAAAAAAACCCTTAAGAGTCTCCCCTTTGACCAGAAGACAGCTTGAATGACAACCTAGAACACAAAAGTCTTCAGGATCTGGCCTGTCTCCTTCTCTAGTTCATCACATCATCTCTCCATCTCCTTCTAGAACTCTGCTGCCCAAGCCAGGCGCGGTGACTAATGCCTGTCATCCCAGCACTTTGGGAGGTCGAGGCGAGAGGATTAGAGACAAGTCTGAGCAATTTGGCGAGACCTCATCTCTACAATAAATCAAAAAATTAGTTGGGCGTGGTGGCACATGCCTGTAGTTCTAGCTATTTGGAAGGCTGAGGTGGAAGAATCACCTAAGCCCATCAGGCTGAGGCTGTGGTGGCCATGATTGTACCACTGCACTACTGCCTGGGGGACAGAGACCCTGACTCAAAAAAAACCCAAAAAAGTTCAAATCCAGCCTGGGCAACATAGCAAATCCCATCTCTAAAAAAATTAATAAATAAAAACTTTGCAGCCCAGTAACAGGTAACTGGTAACATTTCCTAGAACACAGCACAGTCTCTGACTTTTGTGACTTACACTTGTTTTCTTCTATGGTTCTTCCTTCCTCCACTAAATTCTCCTCAGAATGACCCACCTGGGCAAATCTCCATGCTTTAACTCTACCTCTTAACTGACTTTCGAAGTTCACCTTCCTCCAGTCCTCACTCCAGAGGAAGCCAGACAAGTCAGTCTTGCCAATATTCAAACTGATACATGACACTCTCTTGCTTAAAACCTTAAGTCTCCCCTTTGCCCAGAAAACAGCTTGAATGACAACCTATCACTGGCATCACAAGTGTCATCTGCTCCGAGTCTTTCCCAACACCCACCTCCAGGCTGGTAAGATGCTCCTTTCTGGGGTCTCAGTGCACCCATGCCTTCCTCTCCTGTAACACTTACTTCCCACATTCTGGTCGCTTGTTTGTAATCTAACTCTCCCACTCGCCCATAAGCTCTTTAAGAAGGAACAGCCATACACACATAGCAGATATCCAATAATAGTAAACAAGAGGATTCTCAGAGGCTTTGGAGACACTTTTCCAAAGAGGTGGGGATGTTCTGGACTGTCCATCATTCTCCTTAACTTCTCAGCATGGAGTTATCCTCAGAATTCAACAACAGGGAGGGAGAAGTGAGCT